CCCCCCCCTCTCCCTCTCTCTCTCTCTCTCTCTCTCTCTCTCTCTCTCTCTCTCTCTCTATGTATGTATATATTTATGTGGGCAAGTAACTCCTTGATCTACTCCATAACATACATTTCATCTATCATGTATATTTCTATCTTTCGAGAACCATTGGCGGCAGTATTTTTAACATTTAAATCATGAACATGTTAAATTAATTAATGTACATTAGACTTCAAGTTTCTTTACTAATGTACAAAGACAAGCAAATCAATCAGGGAATCGAATTTAGTTGTTCTGTTTTTGGGTTGGTTGCCTTCTTTATGATTCCAACTTTTGCTCCTTGAATTGTCTTTTTGGGAATCATTCCAATTTAAATACCAGAAGGAAAACTCTTTCAGATTTTTTTTTTTTGGTTGCTGAAAATGATACATATACACTTAACTCAACCTTTTAAAATATTTGAATGGGTGATTAGCAGGGTAGATCAAATTAATCTTCTTGTTCCTGAATGATATAAGCATGACAAGGGCTACTACTGATTTGCAATTATCTTATTGTTCAGAGTTTTCTTTAATGATAAAGTTGAAAAAAAAATTAACATTAAAAAATTTGATGAAAAAAATATGTTCATTATAGATACATCCTTGTCTTTTTTGTCATGATATGATTGAAAGTTTGTCAGTTTAGTTGCAAATTTCTATGTTGGTAGTTTTAAGGTGAATTGAACTCAGGGGAATCAAATTTGATTGTAATTTCCAAACTTGTGGTCTTTGAATTGACCTTCTGGGATTCATTTCAATTAAAATACTGGAAGGAAAACTCTTTTAGAGATTAGTTTTTGTGGCTTAGACATGTAGTTTCTTTTTGCTTGTGTAGCTAATGTTGTTTTCCTGTGCAGAATGGGCATCATATACAGTGGAAGATTAATGTCCACTTTATTTTTCTTTTGATGGGCTTTCAATGTGTATTGAATTAAGCATGACAATGGCTCTTAAAGGTATGTTCTTGCAAATAATGCTCTGGTTTTTGTTTTTATTTTTAAATCTCACGATAGACATATAAGTGGGTTTTGTTGATTGGGATTTCTTTACCTTGAATGTGTTCTAAACTCAATTCAATGAACCTATTGATCATGTCTTAGTGCATTTTCTATTCACATAAATTGAATAGAATGGATTCAGCCTAATTTACTTAGAGAAATTGCTATTAGAATCAAAAGAAATCTAATCCATTTGTTTAGCCAATACAATGGATTAAGCCTATAAGCCTAACCTGCTGTTTTCCTTAATTTGTATATGTGTCTGCTAGCTTTATTTGCTATCAAGGGGATGTACAACTATTATTGATAGATGTAGTAATACTTAATGTAGTTGCAGAAATTGCTATTATAATCAAAACAAATCTAATCCATTTACCCAAAGAAAACTTACACCCCATTGAAGACAGGGAGCAAATTTATTTTGTAATCCTTAATTTGATTGTACAATTCAATCCACAATACGCACTCAACAATTACACAGGCCTCAAAAGTGTGAAGATCGAACAATAATGAATTTCTTTTTTATTTTATTTTTGTAATGACTTGTGATCTGTCTCCCCCCCCCTCCCTTTTTTTAATATAAAAAATTTGTTTTTGCTTTGTTCTTCGTTATTGTTGTGATGATTTCAAAGCTTTTGTTGATGTTCCGCCGAATTAAAGAGTTTTTTTGCATTATTGTGTTCATATAAAGCTCGATTAGTTAATCAACAAACATGTTTGGTTTTATGAAGGCCATGCCTTTAGCTGCCTGGTTTTTTTCCCGTCCAAATCATGGTCTTAGTTTCTATTAGAATCTGTAATTCTACAATCTCTTTCTTACTGTTGCCTTTTTCTTTCTTGCTGTCTTATTAGCAATAAAAATTTCAATGTCCTATAATATGGTGCAATAATTCAAGGTCCTTTACTCACATTACTCTTTTCAGAAATTAGAAAGTACCTCCTAGGTTTCTTTGGGGGCAAATCGTGCTAATTTAATCCTTTCTTTTTAAAACTTGATCACAGACTTTCAATTGAGCCCCATGAATTTCTCACATAGCCCTTTTTGAAATAACCAAAGCCTTTGTTGACCAACAGCTATTCCATAATCTGATTTTCTCAGATTACTGTTAGCAGCACAATATAAAAAATAAGGTTAATTATATAAAGACATCTCAACTATTAGAAAATATCTACTTATCTCCCACATCCATGAACCTAAACATTTTGACTGGAAATTTGATGGAAAAATCAAACATGAATTTTAAACACACAATTTTAATAGCGGATAAAGAACACTTGACTTCTATATCGATTCATACAATTTTACACTGAATAATGCTACTTTAACAAAGAAAGTAAAAAATTTCACTAACATTGTAGGGTTATTAAAGCCAGAAATCTACAAGGTTTTACAATCTCCAAGCAAGCCTGAGATCAATTTTGTAGGAATTTCCAATTCACCTTTTGAGATCAAGAAGTATGGCCAAAGCCAAAATTATCAGATTTTATCTCTTTTGATTTTTTTTGGGCTTCACTCAAGTGATAAAGACTTCTTTATGGTCTTTGTTTCTATTAGAATCTTTAATTCTACAATTTCTTTCTTGTTGTTGCCTTTTTCTTTCTTGCTGTCTTATTAGCTATAAAAATTTCATAACTTCGGAATTATTGTCTTTGTTTGAGTGGGTTTGGAAATTGGATGGTTTCGAAATGTTGGAATTTTCCCCCTTCTTTATGATTGACCATGCCTTTAGCTGCCTTGGTTTTTCCCCTTGCAAATCATGATATTGGTTTCTAGCAGAATCTTTCATTCTAGGATTTCTTTCTTGCTGTTGCCTTTTTCTTTCACCCCAGTTGAAGACTCTAATAGAGTATATTGGATTTCTGAGATTTCAATGAATAAATTGTGATGGAATATCAGATTTTGTCTCTTATGATTTTTTTTTGGGCTTCACTCAAGTGATAATGACTTCTGTCTTTTTTTTTTTCTCCTTAAAAATTTCTTTTTACTTTAAGTTATGTTTGATTTCTGTCAATTTATGATTTACATGATTTAAACCTTCCAGGATGTGGACTTTTGAAAAATCCAACTGCCTTAGCTATAAAAATTTCATCACTTGGGAATTATTGTCTTTGTTTGAGTGGGGTTGGAAATTGGTTAGTTTGGAAATGTTAGAATTTTCCCGTTTCTTTATGATTCGTGGCAAACTCTTTGTTTATTGAGACCTATTGCCAAACAGATGGTGTGCAGGAGCAGGGGTGAAAACAAATATGCCACAAACATGTGGGCAGGGGTGAAAAACAGTGCGGCCAAATTTTGTTCAACACACTTGTAAATAGTAGGCATGAAATTATAGATGTAATTACCAGGATTTGCAATGGCAGGAGTGAAGCTTTAGATACCCAATTTTGACAGCGTCCCGGCAGAGGTACCCTCGATAGAGATAGGAAGAATAGGATAACAGCAACTCCATCCACCATATATGTATATATATATATATATGCTGTTCGAAGAGGTACCCTTTGTTTTCTTCTTCATTGTCGGCCCGGCTAATCTGAATTCCACGTGACTAACCGAAATTCTGCAGCCAAATTTGCCGGGGAGGGGCTTTGGGAAATAGGCAAAGAGCAGACCACCGTTTTGGGAAATTTCTACGAAGAGCTTTGGAAATTGTTGGTTTCTACTGTCGTGTGTGGCTAAGCTGAAGGCCACGTAGCCAAGAAGCCCCATCATTACACCATCTGTTAAGTACGAGGGCTCAGAAAATAAAAAATTGGTAAAACGAGGGTTCAGGCAAGAAACTTCAGAGGGTTCATTCAATATATTATTTACATTTAACTATAGAAGGTTTGATCATTGATGATTGGCAGTACGAAACTTTTTGCAAAGCAGAATAGACACGTTCATTTATCACACTCACATTGAAATGGATGTTGAAAGTTGAGAGGCTACAACGACATGTAAATAATTGCAAACAATTTTGTGAAGCAGATTCTCCGGTTCCATGTGAAATTTGTTCCGGTCTTTCATTTATATTGGAAATAATAATTGTACTCCGACAAACCCATGATATGGTTGTTTTTTAAGTTATAATAAGGGCTTTTTTTTTTTTCTTTTCTTTTTTGGAGGAGAGAATGGGGGAGAGAATATTGTAACAGAATTGATATATAGCTGTAATAAGACATTGTGACTTTGGTAATTGAGCTCATAAACCAGTATAAGATACAATAAATAATATACACACTCTTCATAGATGTGATACTTTTTCCACACAAAACAAATTTAAAAAGAAAAATGTTCATGCAATTTTTCCATATATGCCAGCTACTATATGATTTTGAATAGATGGAAGAAATGATTTTGAACATTTTTTGACAATACGAATGTAACAATCTAGGCTTCCAAAGAATTTATAAAATGAATTATTCGAATGGCACTAATAATGGGCCACATGGGTCCAATTTGACTGTCCAATTTGTAAACCAGAGTTGGTGTGCTTTTCTCTTTGGGCTGCATTGGCCGATAGAACTTCAATTCTCTCTCTCATTTCTTCTTAAACCTCTGTTGCCAAACTAGGAACAGGCTTACTCTCTTTCTCTCTCTTCACCGTATTCACACCAAACTCATATTTACAAAACTCACCTTCAAACTCTTACAGACAACTTCTTCAATTGCATCAATCCAACAAACCCACTACCCTTTACTGCATTCGTCTAAACCTTCGCTTTTCATACACATCAATGGGGGTTCCTGTAGTTGAATTTGGTAAGCTGTTGCATTCTCATGTTGTCAAATCGGATTGGTCATCTAGCTTTTTCTTTTTGTGGGGAGTGATCTAACTGATTTGTATGCAAAAAATTGGTGCTTATCAATGATGCAGCATAAGTGTTCGATGAAATTCCTGTTATAATAAACACAGTAATTTAAGAGTATAACCATAAATTAACATGTCCACAGCAGAAACTGATAATCAGAAGCAAGGGGTGAGCAGCTTCTCAGAATCAGCTTTTTCTAGTTAAAATAAGCTGTTAGAATCAGAAGCTGTTTGAAATAAGTTTAACCAAACAGTCCAAAATAACTTTTTCAAAGCTAAAAGCCATAAGTTGGCTCTGAAAAACTGAAACAAACACCCCCTAGGAACAGGCTTACTCTCTTTCTCTCTCTTCACCGTATTCACACCAAACTCATATTTACAAAACTCACCTTCAAACTCTTACTGACAACTTCTTCAATTGCATCAATCCAACAAACCCACTACCCTTTAATGCATTCGTCTAAACCTTCGCTTTTCATACGCATCAATGGGGGTTCCTGTAGTTGAATTTGGTAAGCTGTTGCATTCTCATGTTGTCAAATCGGATTGGTCATCTAGCTTTTTCTTTTTGTGGGGAGTGATCTAACTGATTTGTATGCAAAAAATTGGTGCTTATCAATGATGCAGCATAAGTGTTCGATGAAATTCCTATTATAATAAACACAGTATGTGCAATTGCTATTTTGTTGGGTTAACTTATGGTGAGGCTAAATTATGGGTTGATTTTTTCAAATAACACATACCAGGCAAGTGGTTGAAGAGTTAAAAAAAACAATGAGCTGGTTTTTGTACCCCATGAAAGGCACACAATTGGTTTTTGTGATAGAGAGAAATTGAATTTTTTTTTTCCTCGCCAAATAACTCAATTCAAACAAAGTGTAAGTTGTTGGCCTCACTACTAGACAAAACTAGTTACCACCTACTCCTTTTGATCTTCATGTGCGTTTATTTCCTATTGAAAATGATGAGGATGTAATAAATCAAAAAGAATATGCTAGTATGATTGGTAGCTTGTGATATGTGGCTGACTGTACTAGACCTGACATTGCATATGCAGTTGGAGTACTTAGCAGGTTTACTAGCAAGCCTGGCAGTGATCACTGGCTAGCCATTGAGCGTATTATGAAATATTTATTTGGTACCATAAAATATGGCTTGTTTTATAATAAGTATCCTACAATACTTGAAGGTTACAGTGATGCCGATTGGAATACCTTGTCAGGTGATTCATTATCAACCACTGGTTACTTATTTACATGGGGAGGTGGTGCTATAAGTTGGAAATCAAAAAAACAAACCATTATTGCTAATTCAACAATGGAGGCTGAGCTTATTGCTTTAGCTACAGCTAGTGAAGAAGCAAATTGGTTAAGAGATTTGTTAAATGAAATCTCTTGTTGGGAAAAACCGATTCCACCTATATTAATTCATTGTGATAGCACCGCAGCAATTAGTCGAGTTAATAACCGTTATTATAACGGTAAATCCAGACCTATCAGAAGAAAACACAGTACTGTGAGATCTTATATGAATAATGGCATCATAAATGTGGATTATATTAAATCTGGTGATAATCTTGCAGATTCATTAACTAAGGCCTTAGCAAGAGATAGAGTCTGGAATACATCGAGGGGGATGGGTTTAAAGCCTATAAAATCGTAAACAATGTATGAGGATACCCAACCTAGGGACCAGAGATCCTGTAACTAAGTTCAATGGGAAGAACGAATCATATTTTTTACCCATCCTTATGATGTAAGTGCATTTATCCTGTAACGTTGTAGAGGTTGAGTTATTAAAAAACTCTTAATGAATTTCTGTAGCTCTTATTGAGTGGGGTGTCATAGTTACAAGAGCACCCTTGACAGAATTCACCTATGTGAGTGTGGTAGTGGGGCCGCTACCTATGAGATTTGGGCTAATTCTCAAACACACTCATGAATCCTGGGATCGCACAAGGCCGTAATGTGCTAGCTTTTAAAGCTTTTGTGAACACTTGGAATATTATGTGTGTGCAATAATTATTTATTTCCCTTAAGTAGTCATAGTTCAATGCTGAGCATACTATTGGCTCTGGAGTAAATATTATTGTTTCACTAATGGAGGTTCAATGCAGAGCACACCTACCATGATGCATAATATCCTTATTTGCCTAATAATCTCAGTTTTTTGTTACCTATAATATTAAAATAGGTGGGAGAATGTTAGCAGGTATTTTAATATTATAATGTGTTATATATTGGTTTTTCTTTTCTTTCCCTCTAAGTTATCCAAGGTCTTGGCCAAGTCTTGGTCTTGGTCCACCATGCTTATCCATCCAAGTCTTCATCCTTCCAAGGTAAGCTTCCTAAGGTCTTGGTCTTAGTCTTTAATCTTATCTAAGGGTTGGTTTGGCAAGGGCTCATTGGGTTTTTTTGGCTCAATGAGCCATAAAAGACAGAATAGGCTTATGAGTCACAACAGACAAAACATCCCATCCAACCTCATAATCATTACACTCTTCTCTCACAAAAAAATCAAAAAAGCCAAAAAGTCAAAAGCCCTTCCCAAACTAAGCTTTTGAGCCCAGGCTCATATAGTCAAAAAAGCCAAAAAGCCAAAAAGCCAACCCACTTCCCAAACGGAGGCTAAGTCTTCATTCGTTTTCTTATCCACCAAGATAGGCTCTTATATATATAGTGAACTTATGTCATGTCTAGAGATATATACACGAGAGGTGAAGAAGTTTTGGGTTGCTTTGTTATGTCTAATGTGAGATTATCAGGCAAATAAAAAAGGGTGTGTGTGATAAAGCTTTGGGTTCAACCAATTGTGCAGTATTGGTGAACCATACGACTTAATCGGGCTATTGTATCCTGGGGGAACAAGTTAAGGTTTTTTCTGCTGCACCGGTGTGAGGCTTTGCCTAACCGCAGAGGGCTTGAATCTCCTTAAAGAGAGCGAGTTTCCCGCGCCTCAGTCCTGATAATAAGTTATTGTAATTTTATTATTTGTATTTTCTGGTATATTATTTGTAATTATCACCAACAATAAGTACGACCGTGAAAGAAGAAGAAGAAGAAGGTTATGCAGGTCTTTATTATGGTGTGGGATTTAGACTAGAGAAGGAAAGAGGAAGAAGAGGGATGTTGTTCTGTGGACTTCAATGCTTGGTGCATTTGGCCAATTTTAAAAGAAGTGATTAGATTTTACAAAGAAATGTTGATGGGAAAAGAATGTGAGAATGGGAGCAGGCAATTGAGAAAGCTGATAAAAAATAAATAAATGAGGTTTGGAGAAAGATGTTGGATGTAGTTTTTCTTTTTTCTTTTTTTTTTTTCAGTCATAAAACTTACTCTGGCTTAAATCACACCGACTCAAACTCGCAATTTTTATTATTGGATTGGCATTTGGAAATCATACAATGGTGTAAAGTCATGGGTGGGTAGGTCACAAGTTGAATTGGAGGGCAAGTCGCAGAGTGTGCACTAATACTTTTGTGAGTACCAATGGAAGTTGCGAATAAAAAAGAAGTGATTTAGCCTCCGTTTGGAAAGTAGGTTGGCTTTTTAGTTTTTTGATTTTTTGACTATTTTAGTCTAGGCTATTTTAGCCTGGTTTGGGAAGGAATTTTTGACTTTTTGACTTTTTTGACTTTTTTTTGTGAGAGAGGATTGTAATGATTATGGGTTAGATTTGATGTTTTATTTTTTGTGGTTAAAATAGCCTATTTTATTTTTTGTGGCTATTTTAGCCCCTAACCCACCCAAACCTTCTTGCCAAACACCACCTAAATATAAATCTTATACAAAAAAATCATTTAAAATGATATGTTAATGACATTTGTAAAATTGTAAAGATAATAGTTGATATTTTGATTGAAAACGAAGGGGTTACACGATGTCAACTTATTATGTATGAGAATGATGTACAAACTTTTTATTTTTATATTAAAGATACAAATAATTTGATAGACATTAATATTTTTATTAAAAATCTTATTTAAAATTATAAAGGATTTATACAATTTCTACTCTTAAGCTATCGTCAAATTATTTATTTAGTCCCTGAATTATTGATTGACTCTATTAAGTCCCTAAAGTATAAACATCAAAATCTATTTAATCTCTAAATTATCGATTTAATCTATTGAGTTCTTAAAATATTTAATTCAAACATATTTAGTCATTAAAGGATTACAAAAATAAAATATAAGCGCATAAGTACTATAAATTAATAAAAAACCTTATCTAGTTAAGATTTTATTATAAAAAAAATTAAATTTCTATTTTATCTTTAAAAAGTGTTTTATTTTGCCATGTTTAAATTAGTATCAGTTTTTGGTTTCTCAATCTTACCAATAAAATTATACAAGTATTAGATATACTGAAAAAATAAAATTAGATATTTTAAATAATAACACTTCGCTATAATAATAGAACAAAATAATACATTAATTAAGACTTAAAGATAATCAATTAGAAATTATAAACGAAATCCGGTATGTAATAGTAGATAAAGACAAACAAGTAACTATTATAGAAGATAAGGAAGAAAATATTATAGATAATTACCCTTACTCATATAAAGAAAATTTATTAGAAGAACTGATGCCCTTGATTAATATATTTTAGAAACTTAGTAGACTCAATTGATAATTGAGATGACTAAGTAGACCAATTGGTGATAATTTAAAAATAAAAAATATAATAAACCCAATTATAAAACATTAAATATGATTAATTATAAAATAATAATAATATTATTTAAATATCCAATAATATTTGATATAAAAAATTTAATACATACAATATGGTCACATTTTGTCGAAGTCAAATTACACAAACAAGACAAGTGGTTTTTAAAAAAAAATGAGCTGGTTTTTGTGCCATGTGAAAGGCACACAATTTGTTTTTGAGCTACTAGTAGACAAACAACAGCTATCAACTAGGCCAATGTTAATTCTGGACCAGAGACTTCTCATTAACTCAAAATAATATATCATAACATATTCTCAAAAACAAGCACCATTGGGGAAAATTTTTATCTATAAGTTTTTTTGTTTCTATAGTATTACTTAGGGCTCCGTTTATTTAATGTAAAATATTTTATTAAAAAAAAATTATTTTTATTTTTCGACGTTTGATTGACACTTAAAATAAAAATATTTTATTGTGTAAAAGAGAAATTTTTTGATTTAATAAAGTATTATTATAATTTTTAACGAGTTAAGATATTTATTTAAAAACATTAAATATTTTAAAAAGGTAATAAATGAGAATTAATTTTGTAAAAATTAACTTATAAAATTTTAAAAAATAAATCACTTTTACATAAATATTACAAAAAAAAAATTTAAAAATATTTCATTTAGTTTTTATTCCACCAAACAACAGAAAATGGATAAAAAAATTTAAAAAGACATTTTATGTTGTGAGTCCCACCACCAGCAGCAGCAATCATTTCATTGAAGAGAGAGATGAGAGAGAGAAAAGAAACTCCATCATTGAAGCATCGTCGGCGGTCGTATTTTGCTGGCATATTGAAGAGTGAGCTGAGCTTCAACATTCAAAAAGAAAGAAAACTCGCTCTTCCACGAATCAACCAAAGAGCTCTTCTCAAAGAGACTTCCCTAGTTGGCTCAACTTCAAATGTTTGTCCAAATTTTGCAGATTGCATTATCATTTTGCGTCATGCCCTTTCCTTTTCATGCCGCCCCAGTAGGCCACTGCCTTCTCACATTGGTTGGGGTGTTGTTTTAGCAAGCCCATCTTTTGTAAAGATATACTAACATAGAGTTTCTCATTCATCTCATCTCTGTTTTGTGCTCTCTTTGGAAAATTAGGAATAGAGTGGTGTTTGATATTCTCTCTGCTTCTGCACCAAGCTTCTTCTGAAGTTGCATCTCTTCTCTTAGTT